GGAATGGGGGGGGGGGATGGCTGACAAGATGGCTAGCCTTTAGGAGGAGGCGGGAGTGTGGTGTGTGTTCAACGACACTGCCCCCTCCATGGTCTTTGGCCGCCTGTGTCTGGAGGGCGGGTGAACGGGGGCGGGCAGAAAAAAAAAAAAAAAGGCAGGCATGGTGGCGAAGGCAGGTCGGCTTGATCGGTTGGGATTTCGCGCGTGCCTGTGTAGCGTGATCCTCCCGCGAGAGGTGAGTTAATTGGGTGCTGCTGGCCAGTTTATTTGGTCCCCCGGACAGGGACCGTGCTGCTGGCGGCCGTGCGAGGATTGCGGAGTGCAGAAACGCCGGTCCAGCACCTGCCAGGGACGGATCTGCGATCCTCGGATGCCGGGGGGCCGACCGTGGTGCCGGGCGTGGCGCAGGCAAAAAAAGGACGACCCAGCGATAGCCTTTCCCCCCGGGGTGGATCACCACCTTGATAGCCCCCCCGGACTGCGGTCCAGCCGCGGAAGAACTGGCAACGAGGGCCGCACGGACTCCCGCCTGGCATTGGAGCCGGGAAATGGTGCACCTCTCCCGGCGGCAGGAACGGCAAAGCAGGAAGAACCAGCAAGCAGGGGGAAGACCCGGGAGTTGGGGACAAGAAGGCGGCACCGATGACGCGCGGCTGTCCTTTCAGGCCCCTGCCGCCCCCCCCCCCCCCCTCCCCCCGCGGTCGCCTCTCGCCGGGCTGATGTTGCCAAATGCCGGGGCAAGGGGCGCTGGTGGTCTCCGGCCTCTGCGCGTCCCCCCCCCCCCCCTCGTCTCGCGCGCGCGGACAAAAAAATGCTCATGGTGGCCCCCCCCGCGCGCCAAAGGCCCGAAAAAAGAGGAGACACACCCTAGAGAGCATGACAAGGGCGGAAAAAAGAAAGGGCGCAAAGGAGGGGAAAAGGGTGTGCGGACGGCAAACATGTGTAACAATGCATTTACAGAAGTATGAGATCCAAACCGGACTCGACAAGCTAGAGAGAGGGGCAGGCACCATCATCGCGAGAACAGGCACACGCGAGAGGAGCCGCCCCCGGGGGGACCCCCCCAGCCCTACGAGTCTCAGCAGCGGCCACACACGCACACACGCGTCATTTAGTGAGCAGTGCGGAGCTTGGCGGCCTTGCGGCGAGAGAGGGTCATGGCGGTGGCGGTGGTGGCGCGCTCGACGGGGGCATCCTCGGTCTCGACACCCTTGGGGACGGCCTCGGTGTTGACGCCAAGGACGACCTCAACGTGAGAGGGAGAGCACTTGAAGGCTGTGGGTGGTGTGGTGCACGGTGGCGGCGGCGGCAGTGACAGAGGGGGAGGTGTGTGCGGGAAAAGCGAGGGGGGAGGGTGGGTCGGTCAGGTCCGGGAGAAGGAAGCCGAGCGTGGAAGGGGGGCAACAGCAGTGCGCGAGGGCGGCGCGCGCGCGGAAAAAGGGGATAAATGACAACAGCTGGCATATAGGGAGAAGGACGCACGGGCAATGCGACCGTGGGCGCGGAAAGAGCGGCGGCTGGTCTTGGGGGCCTGGTTGACCTGGATGTGCTTGACGAAGAGCTTGTCAGCCTCGAGACCCTTGGCCTGCGAGGGCGGGCGAGGGAGGCGGGGGAAGAGAGACGGGAGGGGACACGTGTCAGTAAGTAATCGGGCGAGCGAGCAAGACGGCTCTCAAACCGGGTGCGCGAAGGGAAGAGAGAGAGAGAGGGCCAGGAGACGTACGACGGCGTTGGCCTCGGCGTTCTTCAGGAGGGTGGTGACGAACTCGACAGACTTGACGGGCCAGCGACCGTGGGTGACGCCGAACTCGAGAGCCTGACCAGTGCGACCAGTGCTGCCATCGAAGCGGCGGAAGGGAATGCAGCGCTTCTTGGCCTTAACGTCGGCGTAGTAGTTCAGAGCCTTCTGGAGGGACATGCCCTTGATGGCATTGGCGGTCTCCGAGGTGTTCTTGAAGTGAACACGCAGGTAGGCGCCGCGAGACTTGGCGGTGGTGGCGTTGTCGGTCTGGACAGCGTAGCGGACCATTCTGTGAAGAGCGCGGGGACGGGAAAGAGAGAGAGAGGGAGAGGGAGAAGGCGGGGAGAGAAAGCAAGGGAAAGGGTCAGTCAGCAGGCGCCCTCAAAAGGGAGGTTCCCAGACGCAGAGGCCGCAGCCAGGTTAGCTCCCTCGTCCCGGGCATACACACAGGTGCACACACACACACACACGGGTGCACACGCGCGCATGCACACTTGCGCTGCCCCTGGAGCGTCCCCGCAGACGGATGCATATTCGGGAACATGCATCCGACACGACGGAGCGCCGGTGCGCACACACACACACACTACGAACTCTCCTCCTCACCAGGAGGAAGGACGCAGGGGCCGGCAGAGGGGCACACACAAACGTATGGGTGCGTGGGCGTTCCGGCGCGCGCGCTTGGTCCACCCCCCGCCCCCCGCCCGCCCGGGAGGGCATACTCATCCCAGCGCGAGCGGAATGTCGGGGGCCGAGGGCGGACACGGGTGGGGACGGCCGCGGGTGGTCCCCCACGTCCCCCTCTCGCGCGGTCCCAACGCGCGCCCTCTGGCGGCGGAGCCTGGGACGGTCTGTAGGGATGGCAGAAGGAAGGGGGGAGGGAGGCGCCGGGACAACCATCGACAGTCCCCGCCCCCCAGGCGGTGACACACGAACGAGAGGGGGAGGGGGAGAGTGCACGCGGAGGTGCCGGCCGAGAGTGCGTCCTGCGCGTGTGTGTGTGTGTGTGTGCGTGCATGTGCGTGCGCGGACGAATGGGAAAAAGGCGAGGAAGGGGGGGGAGAGGAGAGGGCGGCAGAAGGGAAAGCGTACTTCAATTCTGCACTTATCAAAGGAGATAGAAATCACTTGAAAAGGCAAAGTTAGAGGCCCCAGCTCTGGGAGCTTGAGTTTGTGCCATGGTCAGCTAAAAAATCCCTCATTCCCGGGGAGGGGGGAGGGGGGGCCGCGCCGGCGAGGCCTTCCTCTCGCCTCGCCCCCCGAGCCGCACCCGGCCGACCCCGGGACGAGGCCTATCCCCCCCCCCCCTGGGGGTCCCGGCCCGCCCCCGCCAGGAGGCCTGGCCGCGCCCACGAGCCCCCTCACCGCCCCCGTTGCCCCACTCTCCCCCCCGGCCCTGGCCGCTCTCTCGCCGGGCCTTGCACACTCTCCCCGGCGCAACGGGCCTGGCGGGGGGGGGGCCCCTCCGGCCGAGGACGAACCAATCCAGCGGCGGCCCTCCGGATGGGCACAACAGGCGGACTTGGCCCCGCCAAGCGCCGGCAAGTCCCGTCCTGGGGAGCCGGGACCGGACCCGGGTGCTGGTGCCGGCCTATCCCCAGGTCGCCTGCCTCTACCACGGCGCACAGGCTCTGGGGCTGCTCCAGCAGAAGCTGTCCGCTGGGGCCACCTCCCGCCCCGTCCCGCCTCGGAGGCGGTTCTCTCTCGGCCTCGCACCCGACCTCCAAAGCAGGGAATAAAAAAAGGAGAATATACAGAACTTCAGGTGTGTTCCCCCGCTCCCCCGGGCCCATCTCTCGGGAGACCGGATGGCGCGCAGTCCCTCTCAGACGTCGCCCTCGTGTGTCGCCGCTCCGCGCGCACCGTGCAAAGACACAGCGGCCGCCCAAGGCACCGCCTGCACGCTCCACCTCACTCGGGGCTGGGCACCCCCGGGGGCCAGCGAAAGTGCATCCTGACGCGGGCCCGCGCCGGGGGACTCCCAAAATGGTGCCCACGTTACGGTCTCCCAACGAATCCCACACATCGGCCGGGCAAACGCAGATAGCGCGTGTGGGGATATTTTCCAGCACTGGAAGAGGAGGAGCGCCGCGTGTCCCTGGGTCACATGGTCTCCCCTCCAAATCCGGGACGAAGACTGCCCCGGCGTCGAATAAAAAGTGCACCTGCCAGTTCAAGCCTGACTCTCGCCAAAAGGCGACCTGGATGCCAACGAATGAGGCACCAATGCGCTTGGGTTGCTGTGATGGACGGCCCCTTCCCATGCGCGAGTGCCCGCCCCGGCCCAGGCTAAGAGCGAGAGGGACGCGGTCCGGGAGGGCGCCGCGCTTTCTCCCGCGTCCTCGCACCAGCGAGGGAGATGGCGTCGGGGAACGGGCGCAAAGTAATGGTCTGCACGCACCGTTGTCGCGCCAAGAGGAGGCAGCAGCAGCTTACACGCGTGCGCGCAGCGGCACACATGGCCGGCGGAGCCAGCGGTGCGCGGGCTCTGCGGAGAACGCGGCCACCTTCGGGGGACCTTCCCCTGCCACTGTTCCGCGCCTCCCCCCTCCCCCCCCCGGGGCGCGGGCCGCGGTCAGAACCTTGTGCGTGCGTCCGTGCGTGCGTGTTTGTCTGTCTGTGGTGGCGGTGCGCATCAGGGATATATTCACACATGTGGCACAGCTTGCAGCCCGTGTGTCACCCACGTCTGGCAATCGGCGCGTCCCGCCCCGCTATTCGGCATATAAATAATGGCTGTTAAATGGACTCTCATTTGGGCATCGGCTTGGATTTGATGCGGATGTGGCGGGGGTTGCCTTCGTGGGGTTACGTCCGGCGGCCATGCTTCCCGCACGCGTGCGTGCGCGCGCGGGGGGAGGGGGGGCTCCAGGTCCGAGGGAGGCCGAAGCCTGGACAAAAACCGGCCTTGTTGCCGGCTCCCGGCCCGGCGCCCGTGCGAAGAGGGCGCGACGGAGCACTTCGCTCGTCCGGCCGTCCCCGTCAGATGGAGCGAATGTTCGGCACGCCGGTTTCGGCGAAGTCCGGGTTCCGGGTCCCGGACCACCGAGGCCCCGGGACCCGTGCGTGCTCTGGCTGTGCGCTTGTGTGATGTTGTCAGCGAGCGGGGCGCCTGGTTGGGTGTTTTCTTGGCCGGTTACCGGACAAGCACCGGCCCGGACGATCTCCGGGAATTGGTGCAAGTAGCTGCCCGTGTGTGTTACCCTGAACCTTCCATTGCCGGTTCCGTGGAGCCTGTTTGGGCTTCTTGGATTCGCTTTTCCGACGGGGGGGGGGGGGGGCCGGGGGGCAGGCGATGGGAGGACGAGGCGGCTTGGTACGATGCGGGGCCCTCAAACCAGTGTGTCTGTGCGCAGCGGTGTAACGGGAGCACCCTCATGGGAACCGGCCCCCCCCCCCTGTCGGACCACTTGAGGGCTTCCAGCCGGCTTGCCTGACGAAGACCCGTGGCTCGTCGGGCCGGCTCGCCGGTCCGATTGTCCGCACGGTGAACGTCCGCTGGCCTCGGGCGGGAAGACCATGCATGCGCGCCTTTATCTCGGCCGCACATTGGCACATCCCCCCCGGTCCTCGCCCTTTTCTGGTGTCTCGGCTCTTGGGCGTGGAGGTGGATGCCCCATGCAGGTGGACCGGGGGGAGGGGGGGGGGAGCGGCGCATGCAGTCCTCCGCCGCCGTACGCTCCCTTGTGAGAGCCCGGCGGTGGTGCGGTCGCTGGCCCAGGCTCGGGACCCCGGTCTTCCCCCGGGGGTCGGCGGCGTCGGAGACGGAGGAGCTGGAGAGGTCCTTGCCGTGGGGCTGTTGCTGGCACCAGGCCCGTAGGGTGGTGGGCGTGCACCTCTCGCTCCATGTGTGCGTGTGTACCCTTCTTGGGCTCATCCCCTCTCGTTGGCGCTGGGACACGGGCAGCCAGCATGCGGTTCTCTCTTGCGGAGGCCTTCCCGCCGGGCTGCCCCTCTGACTCACAGCCACCCCGCTGCCTCGCCGGCCCCCTCCCCCCTTCTCCCGGCGGGGCGGGCGAATACCTCCCCCGCTCAAGTCCCTGCAGAGTTGGCGACTTTCTGGCCTCGCGCGCCCCTCTCCCGACGGCCGGGGCGTGGGGGGGGGGGGGGGGGCGACAGACGGGGCACCGGAGGCAGACCGAGCTCCCGGCCTGACACTCGTCTCAGTCAACGGCTTGTGTGTTCGGTGGCTGAGCTCGGCCAAGAGGGGCAGGGCCGTGTGGGTGTGTGTGTCCATGTCTGTTTGCCACACGGCCTCGCTTCTCGGTGCCTGCCCCGCGTCGGAGGCTTAATCATGCCCCGGCGGGGGTGTATCCCCCATATGTCGGGGCTTTGATGCCCGGAGCCGGTACGCGTGGACCGCTGTCTGGGCTTTTTCTCGTCCCTCCCCCCGGGGCTCGGGGGAGGATCGGCACCGAGGGCGAGGCCCGGCCTTCGTGGGGGGGCCCTTCCCTCGCCGGAGCACCAAGTCCCCAGGCAGCGGTGTGTCGCTACCGCAGGACTTGCGGCTTGTCGCTCCCGAGCGGCCCCTCAGGCGTGTGCTGGTTCATTGCCAATCTGCATTCGCTCCGATGCCCGGGTGTGCCGGGGGGCGTGTATGTCCGGTTCGGTGCATCGCGCTCCCCCCCCCCCCCCCCCCCCCCCCCCTGTCGCCCGTTTTGAGGGGGGAGGTTTCATTGTTCCCGCCGAGGTCCGAGCGCAGGATCCCTGTGCCCAGCCCCCTGCGCCTGGTGGCTGTTGGTGGAGTATCCCCCCCCCCCCTACTTCCGGAGGTTCGTTTTTGGACGACCAGGCGGGTGGCGGTCCGAGTAATGGCCCGGCGGATGTGGGATGGCTAGTGGCCTGGCGAAGCAGAGGCCGGAGGGGGGGAACATATTCTCGGCCGAGCTTCCAGCCATAGCCCGACCCCGTTTGTGGGGCGCCGTGGTGGGCTTCGCGTTGATTGCCTCTTTGAGCATCGAGGCTAAGGTGTGGATTCTTTGCGTCAGGCCTGTCCTCCTGCTCGGGGCCCTTGGTGCGGCGCCTGCCGTCCCTCCCCCGCCCCCCCGCCTGTGCTGGCGGTGCTCCTCTTCTGGCGCCCCGGAAGGAGGCCCATGCCTGTGACGAAAATTCCGACCGGGCCCACGCAGCCCGGCCACTCTTTCCCTCGCGAGCCGCAGCCGCAGTGGGCTGAAGGACGCCAAGGGGCCCCGTGTCCCCCCTCCACCCCGAGGCCCAGCGCTAGATTCCGGCCGGATGCCCCCGCGAGTTCCGCACCTCGGGTCTCGGTGCACGGCCGTCCTTGTGACAATGCCGGCGTCCGGGGCGGAGACGCCGGAAAAGGCGCGCCCATAGTTGGCCGCGCGTGCGACACCCATAGAGCCGGGGATCCGGAGCGATCGCGCCCCGGCCCCCCTTCCCCCATCCCTTCGAGGGGCCCAGACTCCCGTTTTTCCTCACGTCTTGTTCGGGCGGGCCGAGAGGACGAGGGGGAAGGGGGGGCGGGTGAAGGAGGCCGGGACACAATTTCGCCCGAGCAGCGCTTCCGTCCCGCGTCTCGTCTCCGCCTGCCTCTGTCCACCCTCCTGCCAGGAGGCCCAAAAGAGGCTTTGGAGGCCTCGCGCCCCGAGGGTGAGGCAAGCTGCTCCCGTTCCCCCCCCCCCCTCCCCCCTTCCACACTTCCTCATTGTCCTCCTCGCATTCTCCGGGTCTGGCCTCCCCGAACAGAGCAGTCTCTCCCATCTGCCTGCCCCCTACTACCCCGGGTTCCTTCCTTCCTCCTCCTCCTCCTCTCCGTGTTGCCCCGCCTTTCGACTGGTCCTCGCACGCCCCTCTCTCCTGCCCGCTTCCGCTTCTCGGCCGGGTTCTTGTCGGCGCAAGAGAGGCACCCCTCCTTCCCCTCGGCTTGCAGTTCCCTCTTGCTGCCCGTTTTGAGCGTGCACCACCGGTCGCCCGATCCCCCCTCCTCAATTCGCAATGTCCCGCGACGTGATCGCCACGGCGAAGTCAACGAAATGGGTGCGTTCGCGCGATCCTCATCACCCAGTGCTGCCTCCCCCGCTCAACCGGCCTGTGTCCTTCGGCCCATGCGTCCGCCTTACGCCTGCCCCTCTGTCCCCCCCCCCCCCCCTGCTCCCTCCAGCTGCCGTCCCAGCGCTGGACCTGGATTTCGGTCAGTCTGCTGCAGATGGTGCTTATCGTCGCCCTGGAGGCGGTGATTGGAGTCCATTTCGCCAAGCTCATCGACACCAGCGACAACAATGTCAACGAGGGCAGCGGCAAGAGCATTGTCCTGTATCTCTTCATCTTCTGCTTCTCCCAAGTGTTCCAAGTGTACTTGGCTGTCGATGCGGTTCGTTGGTCATCCCCCTCCAGTGTTTCGCCTGCCGCACCGGGCCGCCTGTTTTAACCCCCCCAAGGCGCCACGCACTCACTTCTTCCCTGCCCTCCCAGCGCTGGAGGCGTCTGATTTCTTTCCCCAGCGACGGTGCAGGGAGGAGCGAACGCCCCGGTGGAATTCCGGTCCCGCATGCTGGGGCAGACGCTCCGGTCTGCGTTTTCTTGGTAGGGGATAATGGTGGGGGCCGTCCCATGCGGGGGCCGCCTGGCTTCCTGGGTGGGGGGCCCTCCCTTCGCCTCCCCCCCCCCCTCCCCCCCCCCCCCCTCTCCGCTATAGGCCCTCAACCAAAATGTCATCCAGGTGATCGCACACTCGATCTTCGTCGTGTGTCTCTTCACTTTCAGTGTATTCCAGTTCTTCCAAATCCGTGAGGCATATATGATCGCCCTGGACAATGACAACCTGCTTGTCGACCCGACGAAGATCAACTTCCAGACGCACCTCTTCCCGCCGCTCCTGTCCACCATTATCATCCTGGCTTTGCTGGCCATTTTCTATGCCTACTGGGCTTACCGGCTCTATTCGCAGTTCGACTGGGCCAACTACCGCCGTGTGGGGGCCGACCCAGCCATCCAGTCCATCTTCCGCCTGTACCAGACCTTCATCGTCTTGCTGAAGTTGGACTTCTTCTTCTTCATCGCATTCGGCCTGCAGTTCCTGGTCCTTGTGCGCATCAAAAACGTCGAGTTTGCCCTGACCATTTTCGCCATTCCGGGCCTCTTCGTGGCTCTCCTGCTGGCCTTCTACGCGGTACGAATCTCGCCCAGCCCTACCACCACCCTCTGGCCTGTTGCCCGACTTCCCCCCCCCCTGTATCTAACCACCTCCCATCTACATCATCCCCTCCTCCTCCTCCTCCTCCTCCTCCTCCTCCTCCCCCTCCTCCTTCTCCCCCCCTTCGCAGGTCCGCTATGAAAACCGTTACGTCATGGCCTTTTGGTTCCTGGGCCTCCTGCTGGCGGTCTGCTATTTCACCTACAAGATTGTCCGGATCCACTCGCCCTCACAGTACCCCAAGTACGAGGGGTCCGGCAAGTTCTTGTCCTTCTTCGCGGCCCTCAGTCTGGTCATGATCTTCCTGAGTCTGGTGACGTCGGTTCTCTGCGCGCGGAACTTTGGCAAGGGCCTGCGCGACCGCCTGGATGCCAAGCCCTCTCGGTGGAACCTTTTCCGCCGCTTCGGCATCGGTGGTAGCAAGGATGGCACCGCCAATGGCAGGGGCTCCGGCGGCGGGGGATACAACTCCTCCACACCGCCGCCCAATGCCTCCATCGACTTCCCGTTGGATCCGATGGGCAGCGGCGGCGCCGACGAGCCGGTCCAGCACCCACCCTCGGACATCATGCCGCAGATCCCCTCCTCGCCGGCATATGATTACAATGGCAACGCTCAGCGTAACATCTCCCTTGTCATCTAACCCCTTGATGTCTCCCCTCGCGTGCTGCGTGGGAGAGCGCTCGGGGCCGCGGAGGAAAATCCGGGCAATCCCCATGCTCGGCGATATGCGCCTTGTCTCTCTGTCTCCCCCCCCTCCCCCCCCCCCCCTGGGGCCCTTCCTCCCTCCTTTCCTTCCCCGTCGTCCCCTTCGAGTGGTCTCCCTCCCCACATGCACACGTCCCACCACCCCTCTTGCTTGTCTTTCTCCCCTCCCTCGTGCCCGCTGGCGGCCATGTCCAAAATACATTCATAGAACCCTCCTCCCCCTTCGCCTGTGTGTGTGTGTGTGTATCCTGGGTATCCGCCCCCGGGGGCACCCTGTCATCGGCATGAGACCCTCGCACATTTCCCCTCCTGCTGTGCGTCTTCTTCTCGGGCGTCGCAGGAGCCCACCGGGGGGCGAGAGGACGAACACGCCACGCCAGCCGGCCGCAGGCACGATCGGCAGGGGGGCGGGCGTGTTCTGATATTGTCTGAGTATCCAGCAGGACCGTCATAAATGGGGGGATCCTGTACTGCCTTCGCACTGGCCTTCGGCCCCGCCGCGTCTCTGGCCCCCCCCCCCCCCCCCCCGGTCCTGTTCCTGTGGGGAGAGGGTTCATGCCCCGCTCAGTTGGCAGTCCTCGTATGCCGCTAACCACCAGATCGCGCATGCATGTCCCCGGGTGTTGCGCACCGTCGTTGAATTCAAAATCCTGGCATCCCGATTTTCTGGCTCGCCATACAGAAGGGAAGCCAGTTCTCCTCCGATCAAGATGGCCATTCATCCGCTGTCCCGGTCCCAAGTTCTACCCGGTCCCACTGCGCCATCGATGCCTCTCCCGCCGGGTGGTTGTCCGATCGTTCGCCGCCCTCCTACTCAACCCTCTCCCCCTCTTCCTCTCTCTCTCTCTCTCTCTCTCTCTCTCTCTCTCTCTCCCTCTTCGTCTCTCCCTCCCTCTTCGTCTCTCCCTCCCTCTTCCTCTCTCCCTCTCTCTCTCTCTCTCCCTCTCTCTCTCTCTCTCTCTCTCTCTCGTTCTCGCTCTCTCGCTCGCTCACTCAACCACTCACTCCCCCCGTACTTCCTCCCACCACCCCATCCCACCCCACCCCAAAGTGCAATGAAAGCTGAGGAGTCGAGCGCACGGTACGGCTCGTTCGTCTCTTAATGTCAGTTCTCGCTCGATCTAACCCCCCCTCCGTATGATGTTTCCTCCACACAGAAAGCGCCTGCGCTTGTCACACAGCTGCTGGCAGCAGCCACCTGTCCACCTTGGCCCCGGGATGGAAAGCCCTTCTGCACAATCTTCAATGGATTCCACCAGTGCCACCGGAAATACCTTCTTCGACCTTTCTCGGTCGGAGATCCACTATTCAGATCAAACACCAAATCCGGCTCCGGTCACCATCAAGTCCGAGCCGCCATCCAGCTCCCCCGGGGCCGGACACGGTGGTTCCATCATGCGATCCGACCCAAATCCCCTCAGTCCGCATTTCGACGAGCCTCCACACCCCCAGGCCGAGATTAAGACCGAGGCACCTGCTCCGCCAGTCAAGCGTGGTCGTGGCCGACCGAAGGGCTCGGTCCGGGCCTTTACCCCGGCCGATGCCGAGGCCCAGCTCCTGCGCCGGGCCGGCTTGTCGATTTACACCCACGCGGGGGAGCGCCTGCGCAGTGCGCGGGCCATGCGTGAGTACCTGGAACACGCCCCCTGGGACGCTCGGGCGCGGGCCCAAACCCGAGTGTATCTGGCCCGCACGGCGGCCGAAAATCTCTACCCAAAGCGCCCGAGTGGCTTGCAGATCCGCATTGACCTGGCGGTGGCAGCCGGAGATGCGCAAGCAGCTGTCCAGGCAACTCGGGCCCTTGCCCGGCTTTCCCGGAGCTCAGCCGAAAAGGAAAAGGCCGCCGTCGAGGAGACTAACCGGCGAGTGGCGGAGTTTGACCGCCATGCTCTGGCGCAGGCCCAGTCCCGGGGCATTTCCGAGGCCGCATACCTTCGAGAACTGGCCCGAGCCAAGGAGCTCCTGCAGGATGCCCCCCCAGCACCGACCACTGTCGAGGTGGTGGCCTTGGTGGAGGCCTCAAAGCAGGCCTCACAGGCGGGAGCCACAACCACGGTTTTGGTGGCCGGCAGCAGCAGCCCCACGTCTCGAGAGCGGGCACTCCGCTTCCGGCCTTGCTTGGACCTCCGCTGGTTGCATCTTCTTCGACAGCTGAGCGCCGGGACGGGCGCATCAGCACCCCGCGAGCTGATTGGAGCCATGCTTTGGCCTGCTCGGCGGAAGTCCCCTCGTCCTGGGGTCCTGTTCGGGGGAGCTGTGGCCCTTTCCCACCCCCGGCAGTTGCCCTTTCTCCGGCGGAATGCACGTCTTGTCTGTCGCCGACGTGGGATACCCTTTATCTGTGAGGAGGAGGATGAATAGAGCAAAATGTGCAAAATCACGCCGGGCCTGAGGGGGGGTCTTTATTTGTGTCATCCCTCTCGCCTGCCCTCATTGGGGATCGTCAATGCCCGGCGAGAGGGGGTGTTGTTTTGTCACAGCGGAGGACAGGGCAGGTCTGCCTGATGGCCAGGCAGACATGGCTCACGGAGAACAGAAGGCAGCAGGTGCGTCTCAATCATCACTGGCGACCGTGCCGATGGTGGCGTTGGTATCCTCATCGTCCATGATGTCCGCAGCGGCCAGAGTGGAGATGTAGTTATTCAGGGTGATCTCCCAAATGGCGATCGCGCCGCTGACATGCACATTCAAAGAGCTGGATGATGGGGACGCAGGGGGGGGGGGGTCAGCACATGAGCACACACATACTCCGGAGCCAGGCGTCCCCGCAGCAAAGACACGGCAAAGGGGCGACACGGCGGGGGAGCAAAAGCAAAGGAAAAGGGCAACAACGCCGGGAAGATCCCGATGCAGCATTACATACCGAGTCATGCCGACCTGCGGGATCTCCAGGCAAGTGTCCAACATCGGGATCAGGTGCTGGGGGATGCCGTCGCTTTCGCGGCCCAGAAGCAGGGCAATGCGCTTGGAGGGAAGCCCGGCCAGAGTCTGCCGGCCGAGAATGACACTGTCGGCCGTCTGTTCGAGACCCACCAGGGAATAGCCCTCGGTACGGAGCTCAGCCAGGTAGGTGGCCAGGTCCTCCTCGGCGCACTCGCGCATCGGCTGCCAGCTTTGGGAGTTCATGCTCACCGAGCGGAAGACCGCCTGCGAGCGAACGCGAATGTCCCGGACCACCAGCAGGCGAACGCCGAAGATTTCGCATGTCCGGCTGAGCCCGCCCAGGTTCGGGGCCTTGTCAACCAGGGATGCAATGACAATGAGATCCCGAGTGACACGGTGGGTGGTCGGCGTCGGGGAGAGAATCGGCGCCTGGTCCACATCGGCCGCCAGCATCAACTCCCACGGGGCCATGGTCTTACGCTGGAAGTTGGTGCCGAGGTCGGCCGCCCCGCCGGCCGCTGGAGCCACCTGTGCCGCATCCTCGAAGGCCTGATCTGGCGCATCGCCACCGAAGCCGCGCAGGACCGGCAGCGGCGTGCAGGAATCCTCCCCGAAGATGGACGCCACGGTGGTTGTTGGCCGGGGGTCGATGATCCAGAAGGAGGCCTGGTGGTTGGCCGGGCGAGGGAGATGAGCGAAGTGGAGAGGGAGAGGTGGAGACGAGAGGGCGTGAGCAGGCGAAGATGCGGACACATGTGGATATCCAGGACGACGATGCAGCAGGCGCAGATGGACCAAATGCAAGTATGATACGCACGCCAGAGATGGACTCATCCGGGGCCGTGCCAATCAGGAAGATGAAGCGATTGAAGATGAAGTCCAGGGTAAAGTCCCGCTGGGCATCGAACTCGCCATAGAAGTAGTCCTCCAGCAGCTTGGCCACATGCTTCTCGATTTCCGGGTTGTTGTAGGTGAAATGGGCGAAGGGATCGGCCGGAAGGGAGGCCTTCTCATAGCCACTGCGTTGGGGAGGGAGTCCAACGGAGGGGGAAGTGCGTGGCAGTTAGAGTCATCACTGGGGCTCATCTTGTTCACGTGGGAGAGGCGGCTCGAAAGGCGAAAGGGGGGGTCTTTCCGGGGGGGCGGCGGACAAAGCAGCGCACAGTGACAGAGCCAGAGCGTAAAGCTGTTGCAGAGTGTGCACAGCCACAAAGCGGATGCTATAGTTGTTGGACACCTGCCAGGGGGTCATGACGGAGATGGCGCGGACCATGAGGGCCAGGTGCTCGTCAGCCGGCAGGGAGTGCGCGGCCAGGCGACACGACTGGAAGAGCACCTTCGACATGGAGCACACCTGCTGCGGGCGCGCGGCGTAGTCCATGTAGAGGCTGGTAGATGGGAGTGCAGGGGTGAGTGGGAGGACAAAAAAAAAGTGCGCGCACACATACACACAGGAAAAGATGCTCTTGCCCTGTGGCAGCCACGGGGCTGAAAAGTGCACGTACCTGCACACAAACTCCTCAATCATGCCGGGGAAGCGGCGGAGCAGGCGGATGAAGCCCCACTCGATGAGGTTCCGGACGCCCATGCTGTTCTCGAACTTGGAGAGAATGGTCGTCAGCTGGGAGCAAATGTCCCGAGCCACCGGCTCGGCTGTGACCAGATCCAGCAGAACCAGGGTGGCCTGCCAGAGGCGAATCTTATGCCGGTGAACCGGGGTATTGTCGAAGTAGCGCGTGGCCGATCCGAGTGGCGGGGAGTTGTGCTCCAGCAGTCGAGCGGCCAGGCGCTCGGCAAAGGCGCGCTCATGCTCCACCTCCGGTCGCAGTCGAACCAGCAGCGAAAGGAAGCGCGCCCGGCACATGGAGTCCCGGTCGAAGACGCTGGGCCAGAGGGTCCCGGCGGCATACAGGCGCTCCTGCACACCCGGGGCCAGAAGCCGAATCTCATGGTCCAGGAGTTCCTGCGTCGAATGCTCGATGCGCCCACCACGGCTGCGCGTCGGGCCGAAGAGCAGGCCCCGAACAAAGTGGTCGAAGTAGAGGTCGATATTTTGCAGGGTGGCTTCCGGGGCCGGGGCCGGGGCCGGGGCCGGGCCCCCCGTGTCGAGGGGGCCCTCTGCCACCGGGGGAGCAGCCGCGGCCTGGCGAATGGCAGCCATGACACCCGGGTGCACCGGCGGGTCGGTCATCATGTTGGCCATCTTCGGCTGGCCGGCCCAGAAGGCAAACAGCCGGTCGGCCATGGGGTTGGCCAGGCCGGCCCGGCCCTCCCCAAGCTCGAAGAACAGGTCAATCGAGTCGGACACCAGGTCCACACAGTCCGGATCGGCCAGCAGGTACGGATGGAAGCAGAGGTCCGCACAGGCCTCCAGCAGGGGCCGCGCCTGACGGGCATGGCTGATGACCTCCTGGACGGCGACCGTGGCCGAGCGAACCAGATCCGCCAGAACATCGGCGGGCACGGTCCGCTCCGACGCCCCAGCATGGAGCTCCACCTGCCGGCAGACATCCAGCATGCGGCTCAGGGCCTGGACCAGGGGCACCGACTCCAGGGCATAGATGAGCGGGATGTCGGCGGCGCACCGACTCAGCAGCCGATGCACGGTGGCCATGTCGCCGTCCAGGGCCGGTGCCAGCCCGGCCAGGCATCGCCACTTGGCCGTGAAGAAGCGCTTCTGCACCACGTGCCACATGGCGCCGCGATCCCCGGCCAAAGCCGGCTCGTTGGTTGGGCGCGGCAGATGCCCGGCACACAAGGCTGCCACCAGCGGCACATCGGTCGACTGCAGCAGGTCCACCGGGCGGATGGCTTGCTCCCCGACGGCAGCCGCCACCGCCGCCCCGAGGGCCTGGGTGCAGGCGGCGATGCGAGCCGCGGTTGCGAGGGAGTAGTCAGACGCCTGGCCGGGCCCCACGACATCGGGCAGCGGGAGTGGCGACTCGCCCTCCGAGCTGGGATCGGCCGCCTGGCGACGGAGCATCGGCCCGGCATGCTGGCGAAGCTGCGGCAGGATGATGCCCAGCACCCGTGGGCCGAGCCCCAGCCCCGGGGCGGCCAGCGCCCCCTCGGTGGCCTCGATCACCGCCTCGTCGAGGTTCAGGTAGAAGGGCAGCTGGCCGGCGGGGTCCGTGGCCAGGAGCTGCTCCAGCAGGGCAATGACCGGATCCGCAAGCAGAGCCCCGACACCACGGGCCACCGGGCCCTGGCCCTGCTGCTGACCAAGCAGACAGGCGGCCAGCAGGGCCGCGCGAATAGGATGCCGAGCCACGGCCTCCGGGGTGTAATGCCGGGCCAGGGCATTGGACAGATGGTGGTGGGTCACCGGGGACCAGAGGAGCGCCAGGAGCCGGGCCAAGCCGCGCGCACGGGCCCGATGCTGGCCGTACAGGTCGTCGAAGGCGCTCTCATGAGCGGGCAGGCTGGCGTAGGAGTTTTGCTCGGCGAAGAAGCGCTCCAGCAGCACGGGCGCCCGGTTGGTGGGCCGCATGCTGTCCAGGTCCACCGGCGGGCGGTCCTCGGGCAGGTGGTCAGCCGGGGCCAGGCCCGGGAAATGGCTGACCATCCACCGGGTGAAGCTGGTGGCCACCGGGCCACCCTCGACAAAGAGAGCATCCGACTCCATGGTGGCCAGGAGGTCGGTGAAGATGCCGAAGCACATGTCCCGCGGGTCGACACACTGGGCCACCGCCTGGAAGGCATACCACTCCAGGAGCATGCGCTTGCGAGGGGTGGTATTGTAGAAGGGATCGGCCAGCTGCGTGGCAATCATGTGGATCTGCTGGCCGGACCAGGCGTTCAGCGACCCGGCCGATGGCAGCCGATCGGAGGAGAACATCCGGATGACATAGAGGGCGGCCGAGCTTTGAACGTGCTTGGCACAGGCGGCCCCGAGAAGTTGGCGCGAGAAGTCCGCCTGCTGGCCTGGGGCCGTCTGGGCCGCCATGTAGTTCAGCAGGAAGTCGGTGAACATTTCGCCGAAGTGCGACACCAAGGTCCCCAGGCCGCGGTTGCGGAAGTACGCGTCATTCAGCTGCGGAAGGATGTGGTCTGGATTTGGGCGGGGTTATGACAATTGTTTTTTTTTTTTTTTCGTTTTTTTTGTTCCCCCGTCCCACGCGTCAAATGGTGGTGAGTTTGCTGCTGGCGAGTGCGGGAAGGGAGGGAGAGAGAGGGGGGGGAAAGGCAAAGGGAAAAGCAGCGCAGAGCGGGCCACCCCCGGCAGGCAAGGGATGCGTGCGCGCACCGAAGAGGAAGTCCCAGTTGGCCGGAGCGGCAAACTGCGGGCACATGGTGGCAGCCATCTCGGTGCTCAGGGCCTCGGAGTACTCGGCCTGGTCGGGGACCGCCTGGCTGGCGGACAGCCGAATCTGGAAGATGTGCAGGAAGGCGCTCCGGCGGACCGAGGGGTTGCGGTTCTCCAGCAGCATCTTCAGGAGGATCTCCCACCAGCACCGGGGCAGGCATTGGATGAGCCGCGGCAGGTACGCCAGCAGGGGAAGGATCAGGTGCAGGGTGGCCTCATTGAAGGTGTTGAACACCAGGAAGAAGCGCTCCCACAGGGCGGCGGCCTCGGAGATGGGAGTGCCAGGGCTAGATGGTTTGGGGTCAGGAGAACAGAGGGAGGAGGGGGGGGGGGGGGGGACTTGCACGAGATGGGGGCACATGTGCGGGAATGTGTCGGATGGGCGGTACCTGATCCAGTTGGGGCTCTGCTCATGGGTGAAGGCGCCGCTCTTGTTGAGATGGGTGACAATGTGATCCAGCAGGTAGATGCTGCGCTTGGAAACGAGCGAGTCCTCGGAAAGGAGGCCAAACTGCAGCGAGGGGAGGGGCCGGGCCGAAAGACCGGCAAGTTAGTGGGTGACCATGGCCGAGAAGGGGAGGCAGGGGCGTATGTGCGGATGCCTGCGTACCGTCAGCAAATCGCGCATGGTATCCGACTGGATGACACTCCGGCCGGTGTCGCCGTCGACCGTGCCAAGGTCAATGTAGCGGGGAATGAAATTGGCCATCAGCGAGATGGCCTCATTGCGGGTGAAGGCCTGCTCACGGCCGGCCAGATGGATGACCGTTTGCCAGGAGAAATCGACCACCGTGGCTGGGGCCAGGGTCCCGAGGCGCTGGAGCCCGGGGATGATGTGCTGGCACAGGTACTTGAGCAGGGGCTGGTGCGTGGTGTCGCAGAGGGCCCAAACGATCGGCAGGAGGGTCTGGCTGAGGTGGTCAAGGAGATCGGCCTCGGAGGCCGAGTCGACGGCAGCACCGGCAGCCGGGGCGCTCACAACCAGGGAGTTGAGCATGTACGCCACGCGGAGGACTTGATCGGCGTCGCAGCCGGCGGGGGCGGTCGCCGCACGGGCCGGGGTGGCCTCCAGAAGGTCAGCCGCTGGAACCAGGCACCGGGTGATGGCCTCCTGGAGGAAGGGCGCCACGGTGTCCATGGCCCCGGCCGAGGCGGCCGGCCAGGCGAGGGTGTCAAGCGCCGAGTTGGCGTAGCTTTCCAGCAGGGCAACCACCGCGCGGAACAGGGGGAGACCCATGTGCGCGGGGAATGCCCAGGACAGCCGGGCCAGGAAGGGGGCCAGCGCTTCGAAGGCGGCCCGACGAAGGAGCAATGCCGGCATGACGAAGCGCACAAGGAGATCGCGGCAAACGGCGGCCTACAGGCGCGGCCGAGGCGGGAGATGGACAGAGCGAGAGTTAGGAGGCGAGAAGGGGGGGGGGGGGCAAGGCGGATGGGCATATGGGACGCACCTGCTCAGTGGCCGGGAGCTTTGGGAGGATGATCTGAGCCGCGCGGAAGAGGGTCCGGATGCGGGAGGCATCCTCGCAGGAGAGCTCGGCCCCTGGAGCGGCCAAGAGGTCCGGCGACTCGGCGAACTGGCGCTCCATCGAGGCAACCAGAGTTTGTACATCGCTGGAGAGGACGATGCCCTCCAGGATGGAAGCGAGCCCCGAGGTGGCCATCTTGATGGCAAGGAAGGCGGCAAGCGGGACGAGGAGGAGCTGGGGGGAGGGGAGGAGAGGCTTGCGCGATTCCGGGAGGCTGAATGGCCACAAGGGCGGACTCCCTTGTGGGGTTGTTTGAGGTGGGTGGGGGGGGGGGGAAAGGGGGGCACCTGTCCCTGACTGGTGGACTGCCCTCGGGGCCCGTTTCACGACCAGATGCCTGGGACAGGGCATCCCCCGGGGGCGTAGAGGGGATCAGACCGATCTCCCGGGCCGAGGGGGGGGGCGTGCTCCACCTGGCACATGGCGCGAGGCAAAAATGGCGGGCCTCGGCATACCGAAAGTGTGAAGGTCGCGTGGGATCGCAATGCTCGAAATGCGCAATGGCATTTGCGACCTTGTGTGCCATTCATGCCGAGCGCTGCCCCGGGTGGCCGCGTTTTCGCCCCTCCCCCCCTGCCGGCCGGGTGGCCAGAGTCGTCTGTTGCATTTTTGGCCTGGCCACTATTGGGCCGCTCTGTCCCATGTGGACCGAGGTGCGTGGGCCGGCGCACCCTCATGCCGGCCGACGCCTGGGCCGGGGGGACCTGGCCCTTCACTGGCCCGGGGGACAGGCGCTTCATCCCCGGCGCCGAGTGCGGGTGGGGTGCGTGTGTGTCTCGTGGACCGGCCGCGTGGGCCTGAGCGCCCCCCCCCCCCCCCTCCCCCCCCGCCCTGCCCGGGTGCACCAGGCCCGCCGTGTGCCCCCCGACGACCCGCGCCCGTGCCCCCAGGCGGGGGGCTCGAGTGTGCTGGTGCAAGTGTGTGTGTGTGTGTGTGTGTGTGTGTGTGTGTGTGTGTGCGAGTGCGGGTGCGAGTGCGCAGGCGCGGGGCGCCCCTCTCCCGAGCGGCGTGGAGGGGGGATATCCGGGCGCTGGGCATATTTAAATCCCCCCAGGGGGGCTGGCTGCCGCGCTGGGCCGGCAAAAGGGCCCCCCCGTACACTTCTGAACGTATTTCTCCCCTCCCCCCTCCAGAGAGCCCTCCCTCAGCCGGACATATCTTCCTCTCTGCTGTCTCGTCTCTCTCTCTCTCCCTCCCTCTCCCTCTCAGGCGCCTGTTTGTCTAGCGTCCCTGCTGTCTGTTTCTTCCCTTCCCCCCTCTCCCTCTCCGCTCTAGCCCGACCGTCACCATGGTTCGTCCTTGATTTTCGCGCCCCCCGGCCGGCCGGTCTTCTTTTCCCACTGTCCCCGCTGTCTCCTGCCCCCGCTTGACGCTGACTGACCGGCGCCTTGTTCCCTCGCGATTGCCCGACCACGACAGGGCCCGAGACCGAAGCGCGAAAAGGGCATCACCTTCTCGCTCGTCCATCGCGACAGCCACGACCCGCTGTACCATGATGTGGATGCCCCGGAGCGCGTCCTCGTGCCGGTGGTGTCCGGCAATCGCAATCGCCGGAAGGATGCCCAGCGCCTGTCCGAGCTGGACAGCGAGGCAGCCTCGAGGTATGCCGGCTCCGATGACGAGCAGGATCTGCTGGATTCCGACGGGGAGCTTGACGACGATCTGATCGCGCGTCTCGGCGGCGTGGACTTCGATGACGACGAGGAGGAGGCCTTTGAGCCGGACTTCGAGATCGACGGCCCGGATGCCCACCCCGATGGGGATGATGACGACCTGGCGGCCCCGCGCCGCCACCGTGACCGAGCGCCCGTTCGGCGGTATGTTTGCCCGCTCGCGCCTGAATGTCCCCCTTCTCGCCATCTCCTCCCCTCCTTCTCCTGCTCCATTGAATAGTCAGGGCCGTCTGGGAGGTGTCGACGACTCGTCGACGCCACCACCCACCCAGCGGTTCGTTACTTCGATGGGACATTAATTCCCGGATCCCACGGCCTGGCGGCGTCTTCTTGTTCTAAGTTGACGGCGCCTTCGGCCTTTCCGGGTTGCGTGGATTTGAGTTGGAAGGTCTTCGGTCCTTGTGGTGGGCCGTGTGTCGCGCTCCTCCCTTCATGGGGGGCCGTGTGGCATCCGTGCTCCGACAAACGGGCCTTCCTTAGTTATCTTACGCCCAGCTCTCTCCTCTTTCTCTCTCTCTCTCTCTCCCCCCCTTCCCCTGGCCTTTCTCCCACCCCCCTGCTCATACTCACACTTCTTCCTCTCTCTCTCTCTCCCCCCTCTTAGCCATGTCCCCGGTGAGGCGGCCAAGTACGGCATCTTCTTCGATGATCGTGACTACAATTACATGCAGCATCTCCGGCCGATGGTTGGTGGCCCGGGGGCTGTGTTCATCGCGGCCAAGGGCGCCGAGCCCACCCGCGTCCGTGGCGATGGCGGCTTCACTCTGCGTGACAGCGCGGCCCCGGGCTCCGGCGGCGATCGTGCGGCCCTGACTCGTGCCGAGGTCGAGCGCCTCAACCTCCCGAGCGACATCCTGCCGGCGTCCTACTCGGCGGTCGAGTATGCCAAGACCCGGGGTGCCTTTGTGCCGGAGCTCGGTACCTACGGCAAGCTCGGCTCCGTCGGTGGCCCGCGGCCGGACCTGAGCGAGGACATCCTCGAGGTCCTGGAAGCCCTGGACGACGAGGAGTACCTGGTGGACGGGGACTTCGAGGATGACTTCTTCGCCAAGGCCGACGCCAAGCCGACGGCCGAGGACCGGGCGCGCCAGCGGGCCGAGGCCAAGGCCAGCCGCGCCGCCACCGGCCCCGGCGCCATGCCCGATGATGATGAGATCCGCCGGCTCATGATGGCCGATCATGTGGACGAGTTCGGCAACCCGATCCACGGCGAGGAGGAGTACTACCCCGGCGGTGATTCGGACCTGGACGCCCATGGCAGCGGCGGCGGGTACAGCGATGAGGATGGCTCTGGCTCCGTGAATGCCGGCCATGACTCGCGCTCGGACTTGGGCTTCAGCGATGAGTTCGACGACGACGAGTTCGACGACGACGAGGAGTATGGCGACTTCGACTTTGATGGCGGTCGGCACCCGGCCCGGCGCTCGGTGCGCTTCGCCGATGGCGACAATGACCGGTACTTCGACAGCCGCACCGTCATGACGACCACATCGGCCTCGCTGGCGCGCACCGAGTCCCTCCGCTTCCTCGATGACCGCTTCGAGCAGCTGCTCAACGAGTACGATGTCGGCGACATCGGCGAGCTGGATGAGGAAGACCCCACGGTCATGGGGCACGCCGATATGGCGCGCTACGAGTCGATTTTGGACGAGTTCCTGACGGCCAAGCGCAAGGCGTGCGTGCTTTTTCCTTTCACCCTCATTCGCCGAGGGCGGGGGTGTGGTGGGCGTTCGATTTGCTGGGCGCGGGGGGGGGGCAGGGCCGGGGCCCGGGTTGCGGTGTGGGCTTTCTTTTCCGTCCACACATGGTTGACGGGGAGGGCGCGGCAGCGGGGGGGAGAGCGGCGCGCTCCGCCGCTGCCCGGGATCGGGAGCGCACTGTGTCCGCCTCTCTCTCTCTCCGCGTGTGCGCTCTTTCCTCTCCATGTCCTCTGTTCCATTCAAGAATTGAATCCTGGAGAGCAGTGCGTGTATGCGCGAGAGAGGCGGCGGCAACAGGGCGCCAGGGCATCCCGTTGGCGTGTGGCGCAGCCCGCGTGAGGGAAGTCCCCTCTCCCTCCCTCTGTCGTGCTGCCCTCCGGCCGGCCTGCTTCTCCTTCCCCCTTTCTCGCGCGTGTGGCGTCTCTGTCTTTTTTCTCTCCATGCTGACGCGCCATGTTCGCGGGGCTGCATGCCGCTCTCTTGCATTTTCCTCGCCCCCTGTGTGCCTTGTGTAGTGCCGCGGACAAGGGTCTCGTCGGCCTGGAGCGGCTGCGCGGCAGTGCCCTTGAGGCCATGGCGACCCCGGGCCCCGCCTCGGCATCGGCTCCGGCCGAGTCCCCGGCCACCGGCGCCCAGCAGCAGCAGCAGCAGCAGTCCGCCATCTCCCCGGAGGCTGCCGCCGCCTCGGCGGCCCTCCTGCAGCAGGACGTCGCGCGCTACATCACCAAGTACGCCGAGACCGTGGACGAGTCTGGCAACCTGCCGGATGAGCATGAGGAGGTGGAGGTCGAGCCGCGCCAGAAGGAGGCCGAGTTCGATTGCGAGAGTATCCTCTCCACCTACTCGAACATCAGCAACCGGCCGTCGGTCCTGAGTGAGTCCCGGCACCAGCAGCGCCGCATGACCTCGGTCGAGAGCCTCGGTGGTGGCCGGTCGTCTTCCGGGTTCGGCCTGGCGCCGGCGCCGGCGCCGGCCATCAAGATCAAGATCGGCCGGTCTGGTGTGCCGATCGGTGGCTTCCGCAACATCCAGCACTTCCGGGCCCAGGCTCGCCAGGAGTCGTCCCAGCGCAAGGGGGGTGCTGCCGTCGCCGCCGCGGCGGTCGACCAGCCGCCGTCGTCGGCCGCCCCGGTTGCTGCTGCCATTGACAGCTACCCCGATGACTATGCCGCCGAGGAGGGCTACGATCAGGAGGATGGCGGCGATGACTACGAGGACTACTATGCCAGCTACGACACGGGCCCCGCGGTCGCCGCCCGGCCCCGGGACGAGACGCCCGAGGAGAAGCGCGCCCGCAAGAAGGCCATCAAGGAGCAGCGCTCTGTCCGCCGCGCCACCAAGAAGGCCACCACCACCGCCTTCAAGACCGAGAAGACCCGCATCGAGACGCAGGCCATTCGCCAGCGCACCGCGCACAACAATGCCCCGGTCATTCTGTGATGGCGCGGCGCGCCCGGCCGCCTGCTTTGGTTTGGTCATGCTCTGTGTCTTGCACAAGATCGAGAGATCGAGAGCGTGTCCGAGGGGGAACACACACAGGGCCCCCTGCCACCACGTCTCGCCCCCCCCCCCCCTCCCCCCGGCCCCGGGCAACGGCGGGCACGCCGGCGGACGGCTTCGAGATAGAGATGCACACTTAGAGCGCCCCTGCTGCTGCCGGGGTGCGCCCATCGCACACCTGTGTCCTCCCCCCTCCCGCTTGCTCTCCCTCTCTCGCCAAGCCACATCCCAGCTCCTCTTCCTCCCCTCCCCCTTGTCCTTGTTTCCATTCGCGCGCGCGTGCCCAAAAAAAGTGGCCGTCGCAGCAACCCCCCCCCCATGTGTACACTATATATTCCTCTCTTCTCCCCCTCTGCGTCCCTCCCTCCGACGAAATGTACTTTTGCCCTGAAAAGAAGACGCCCAGCTTTGTAGTTGTGAGGAAAGCAAAAAAATAAGAGGGGGGCGCGTGTGTGAATGACGGTCCTGCAGGGGTGCGCCCCGGCGTGGGTATGCTTTGGCAGGGCACCGTCCCTCCTGCCCGGTCACGCCCCCCCTGGACCACAAGAAGAAACACGTCAGATTCGGCCACCTCCCCCCGGCGCTGGCCCTCTTTCCCCCCACGTCGCGTGGCCGCCGGGCCAAAGAGAAACACCCAGACCCCCCAGAGGGAGGGAGGGGAATGCGAAAAATGGGTGGCGTGGGTTTGCACAACATTGTTCCGGAAGAAGAGGAGAAAAACAGGGGAGATGTAGGAAAGATGGGAGAAGGGGGACGCGACGGCGGCGACAGGAGAGCGAGAGAGAGAGAGAGGGGCAGAGGGAGAAAGGAGGAGAGAGGGAGCTCTCACAGATGTTGACACACAGGCGGGCTCCAGGCCGCTCGCCAGCCTTCCGCACGCGCTCCTGTCTCGGCCTCGCTCGCTGGCTCGCCGGGGGGGAGGAGGGGGCGCCGTGTGTGTGCGCGCGCGTACGCGCGCGCACAGTCGGCATGCTCCGGCCCCCTTCAGAAGAACCCAGTCGGGTGGCCGCCCATCTGAGGGTGGCCAACACCGCCATGAGGCGGGGCCATCATCATGCCCGGGGGAGCAGGCAGGGCCGGAGGCATCATCATGCCACCAGGGCCAGTGAGCATCAGCGGATGGCCCGGAGCGGCCATCGAGATCTGGGCCTCGGAGGTCTGCTGCTCCTTCTCGCGGGCGGCGCGCTCACGCTCGGCGGTCTCCAGCTGGTCGATCTTGGTGGTGCACTCACGCAGGGTCTGAATCATGAACGGCATGGCCATGTCCATGTAGCCATTGCGCCAGGCCAGCTCCAGGACCACATCCGGGCGCAGGAGATCGTAGCAGGAGAAGAGCACGGCGGCGAAGCACTCGCGGTCGCCCTTCTCAATGAAGAAGTGCAGCAGGGTCTCGACGACGGCCGAATCGCGGCTCCCGGCCGCGGTGAGAATGGCATCCCGGTACAGGGAGTCCTGCTTGGACAGCTCCACAGACTGCTGGTAGCGCTTGTTCATCTTGTACAGATGCGCGGCCAGACGGCGGAACTCCAGGAGCTCCATCTTCTCCAGCTGCTGGGCCAGGTGGATGTTGTCGAAGGAGGTGTAGGTGTCGATGGACTTGCGCAGGGCCTCGACATCCTCCTCCTCGATGAGGATCTGGTTGAGGGCCTCATTGACCACCTTCAGGTTCAGGGCCTGGGTGGTGACCAGGTACGGCTTGACCAGGGCAATGAGGCCGTTCTTCTGGAAGAGGGCAATCACACGCGAGTGGTCAATGCGCGAGCTGACCACGCTCAGCAGGTCATTGATGGCCAGCGGCTGGTACTCAATGTAGAAGGCCAGGGCCTTGTAGTTGAGCTCGATGGTGGCCACCTTCGGCAGGATGTCCTTCATCTGGGCATGGGAGAAGGCCTGGGCCGGGTGGCTCATCATGGTCTGCACGGCATTGTCAAACTCATCGTAGCGGATGTACAGGAAGACCAGCTCGGCCCACAGGTGAGCGGTCTCGCACGCGCGGATGACCTTCGGGATGTTGACCCGAGCGCAATACTGCTTCAGGTGCTCCATCACCTTGGCAGGCTGGTACTTGGCATAGAGAATGGCCAGCTCGGTGAACATGCCCATGTGAGCACGCTCATTGGTCAGACCGGCCTCCAGCAGGCCCATCAGCTCGTCGAAGTGGCCGAGGTTCTCATACAGCCGGATGACGCTGTCCAGCTCCTCGGCATGGACAATCAGGTTGAGACCGCAAATCTGCGCCAGGCGGAACTCCTTCGAAGCAACGCACGCATGCAGCAGGTCCTTCCACACGCGAGTGGAGCTGGCCTTGCGGGCGGCATCCACGGCGGCCTGGAACTCCTTCAGGTGCACCAGGGTCTGGGCCAGACGAGCATAGTTGGACACGCTGTTGAAGAGAATGCGCGCCGCCTCGTAGAGCCCCTCCTCGAAGCACCGGTCGCCGACAACCTGCACCTGGGCAATGTTCGGGCTGTTGACGAACTCCTCCAGATCGGCCAGGCGATCGGTCTTGGCCATGGCGAAGACCAGCTCCGACTCGATGTGCGCCTCGCGCAGGGTCACGCGGGCCATCTGCAGGAAGCGGATCATGTCCTCATAGCGACCGGTACGCTGGGCGCAGGAAATGACCTCGGTGTAGTTGGTCGGGTCGTTGGCGCGAATGTACGAGTCGATGGCCTCCTTGATCTGGTCGGCGCGGAGCTGGGCCCGGCCGAGCTTGGACCAGACCTCCGGCTCGTCGACGAGCTCGGCAAACTCGCAAGCACGCTCAATGGACTTGATGTAATCCAGCAGCACATCGACGGCCATGGCATGGACATCATGCTTCTTGAAGACCACAAAGGCCTCCTCGTACAGGCCATTCTGGATGGCGATGTTGGCAATGTCCGGGGCATCGTAGTTGGTCAGCTTCTGGATGTACTCCATGACACGGGAGTGATCCGCCCGGATGGAGGTCATGATGAGCAGGTTCTGCAGGTTGCGGTTCTCCGAGAAGATGGAGTTCTCCAGGACAATCTTCTCCAGCAGCTCGATCAGCTCGTTGGGCAGATCCGCGGCCATGAAGCACTTGACCGCCAGCGACACCTCATCCGGGTTCTGAGACTCGATGAGGGCCGTCTGCACGACCTGGTCGATGAGCTGCCGGCGGAAGGTGTTATCCGGCTTGAGCACATGCTCCCACAGGGCCGGGTCCTGGCGGCGGACCAGGTACCGGGCCTGCTGCTTGAAGAGGCTGTTCTCATTGCACACATCGATCAGCTCATAGTCGCAATGGCCACGATCGTAAGCCAGCACGGCCATGTACGGGTCGCGCTTCTCGCAGTACTTACCAACCACCAGGCTGTCGTAGTACTTGTTCTCGCGCAGGAAGGCCTCCGGGTTGGTGTTGCTGTCGACATAGATCTTGGCCAGGGCATTGTGCACGGCCGGGTCGGTGGAACCCTCGCTGACCTTCTGCTCGAGGAAGGCATTCAGCAGCTTGAGGCGGTTGCGCTTCTCCAGCTCCTCGACCAGCTGCTCGAAGGAGTAGGTCCCGGTGACGGTCTTGATGATGTTGCGCACGAAGGCCTCCTCGCAGTCGAGGTCCAGCAGGGCACCCACCACGGCCGGGGTCCGGCTGGGGTTGACCTTCTGCACATAGACATTGATGTGCTGGATGTTGTTCTTGAACAGATACAGCACCAGGTCCTGGACGAAGTCGAAGCGGTCGCACACGATGATCAGCGGGCGCAGGTCGCTCAGCTTGGCCTCCTTGAGGAAGTTCTTGACGGCCTCCGGGTCGTAGCAGTTGGACTCGCGCACAACGCGCTCCACCTCCTTCAGCTGCCCGGTCTTGGTGGCGGCCTGGATGTACTTCAGGTGGACCTCCGGCTCCTGGGAGAAGTTGACAATCGACCCGAGGTAGTAGTACAGCCCCTCGGAGCACTTGAAGGACTCGAACATCTCGATCAGGCTCTTGGCGGTCAGCTGCTCGGAGTACTTGATGGCGATCTGGATGACCGTCTGCAGGTTCTGGCGCATGTTGACCTTGAGCATCTCACGCAGGCAGTCCAGGGACTGCTCCACCGACAGGGTGCCAAAGTAGTTGAGCAGCCACTCCGGCTGGAGCAGGGTCGTGTGGACGATGGTGCGCTTGATGTCGTAGATGTCGGTGTAGTGCTCCAGGGCGCGCTGGTACAGCTGGGCCTTCTCGCACAGCTGGGCCACGGCCGCCCGGTCGTAGTGCGTGAACATGCAGTTGCCGATGATGGCGTCGGCCACCTGCGGGTGCCCGCCCAGGAGGTTCATCTCCAGCAGGCGAGTCTGCAGGTGCCCCTGAGACTCGAGGTTGTCCTTCAGCACCTCCAGCAGGTAGGAGGTGGCCTGCTGCACCAGGTGATACGAGGCAAAGGCATCGACCACGGCCTCGTGGTCCAGCAGCGGGCCGGCCTCATCCTTGGCCAGGAGCCCGGCAAACTCGGCACCCTTCTCCGGGTTGGAGCGCAGGATGGTCGACAGGAGGAACTGGTAGTCCGGCTGGTAGTTGACCTTCTTGGCGTAAAGCAGGAGCTTGGCAAACTGGCCCTGCTCCATGAAGCAGGCGATGACCTTGTTGGAGGCATTGGCCCGCAGGTACACCGACAGGGCCAGGTTCAGGTCATGCTGACGCACGACATCACCCAGCTCCTCGGTGCACTCGAGCTTGTCCTCCTTGAGCCACTTCTCCAGGAGCTCCTTCTTGCCCTGGAGCAGCACCGGCCGGGCGAGCTCCATGGACTCGAAGCGGTTCAGCTGGCCGCGCTCCAGCAGGATGCCGAAGTACTGCAGGAGGATGGACGGCTGGCCCGGGGGGGTGGGCAGCTGCTTGAAGCGCTCGATGGTCTGCGGAGTGCGGAGGAAGCCCTGTGGTCATGGGGATGCGCGGGGGGGGGGGG